AATACACAACGAATTCATTTTTGGTTATTTCATTGTTTCATCATGAATATAATTTATCAAAAGAAAAATAAAATATATCCCAAGATGCAGCATGAAGAACCCTACAACCTATACAGTGAAGCTTATTGTAATTATTTTTAGAAAAAGGAAAATTCTATACGACTAATTTTTGCAATACCCAAAATTTGATTCCTTAAAATTTTGTCCATTTTGAGAACAAAAAGTGCGGCTATAAAATAAGTAGTGTTATGTGAATTGTAGAGCTTTTCACGCTACATCTTATGTTATGTTTTGGTTGGTCATACAAAATCTTAATGAATTGAAAACTAATCTGTCTCATACGTTGTGATCGAGTATAACGAGCACAGATGCTAAGGAAAAAAGTCTTATCGAAAATTTATTATCATCATATTAGTTGAAGTATGATCAAATAGTATAGAAAGATAGAGCATTCTTTTCTCTATTGGACTATATAGAAAGAAAGTTTCTTTAAGTCTACTATACGGTATTAAAGTGCCACTGCCGCTACTTTTGGTATACCCTAAGTATCATCTTAACAATAAAGATAAGTTTTCAGATTATGATGACTTCATCATCATTATTAAGTCCATTGAAATAAATTCAAAAAGCTGATCGAATATTTGATGGCTGTGGCAGCATGCATCACCATCACCCGCTGAGAGATGATAAGCAAACGCTACTTTCTCCTTTCTCTCTTTCTCATTATAATTATCGTTCTTCTCATATTGATTCAGTTGAAGAATAAAGTTTGACCGAATAATCGGTCACCGTCATAATGGTCGACCAAAATATTCAGAACACGCTCATATTGAAGATGATTTTGTTAGCGGTATTAGAGACAAACAACAAATAGATCTACATTTATTAGATGCAGAAAACAGAACCAGCAGCTGTAGTATGAGGAATCATGAATTATTTTATTGTGACGTAGAAACGCTGCATCATTTCTATCGTGATTACAACTACTTATCACCTACTCTTCAACTGCATGTTTGTGTCGAATATATGTTTGTATTATTTGATAAGGGATGAGTAGTGAGTCTTGTTCTTATTTCCAAACGATATAAAAAGCTTGATTAAAAGTTCACGTACTATTTTGTACGAGATTACAAGAATACTTCAAATCGAAAAACGTTTGATCATATCGAAGGCATAGCATCGTGAAAGTATTCAACACAAATCATTATTTATCACATATCTCTCGCTATCTTTCGTACATTCGTTTCTGGTTCACGATGTTCCATTATATATGAAAAAAGATAGCTATAAAATATCCTTTCCATGTACGATTGATTATAGTTGCAACCGGTAAGAGCAATAATTGGATGAATATTGGTTGGATGGATAATATACTACCAAACGTGCTTGTATATTATTTCTTTATTGTGATAATTATTCTATTGATTATTATTCCACTTTGGTTTATTTCAAAATTAATCAGAAACATCAAGATTTTAATAAATGAAGACATTATGATTATAGAATTGTACGTTGCTGTCAATCTCTGAGTGGTTGAGAGAACTATCAATGGCTTACTCGTATCTTCATTTGTTATTATAGAACTCATTTAGCATCATCAACTGAATTAACATATTGATTTTTTTATGTATTCTTTTTCATTTTAACCATGTAGTTTTCACTTAATAATATTCGTAATTTTTTTCTCTCAATGAGATCCTTCTTCCGCTAAAGACTTTAAATTTAAAAGGCTACACGATGAAGTAACAGCAGCTCTTCGAAAAGAAAGAAAAACAAAGCAGGAGGATATTTTTCGCAAATTCAACGACCTTTCTACCTTTTGGGCAGAAATCAACAAAATGAGAAAGAAGTCGTGCGGTATCCCTGGCATCCCAATCAATTAAATCAGGCATTTTTCCTTCACAATGGAAAGCGGCAATTGTTAAACTCATTTTTAAGAAAGGGGATAGATCAAAAGTTGAGGAATACCATCCAATATCTCTACTGCCTAACGTTAGCAAGATATTTGAGAGATTAGTTTTCGATCTCTAGTTCTCCATCTTGAAAAAAACAATTTTTTAACAAACAGCAATTTGGTTGTCGAGGTAATTCATCCACTGTCGATGTACTGAATGTTCTCTTCTGTCGCCTCTCGTCTTTCGCAGATAAGAAAATAAAAATGGCTGGAATTGCAATCGACTTTATGAAAGCCTTTGATAGAGTTCCTCACCAAATTCTTCTTTCAAAATTAGATTCGGCGGTGTTGAGGAGAAACTTTTCGACTGTTTCGGTTCATATCTTAATGGGAGAACTCAGAGGGTAAAAATTAACAACCTACTTTCCCAAGCAATATTAGTATCATCTGGCGTTCCGCAAGGATCGAATTTGGGCCCCTTGCTCTTTTTGATATTCATAAATGACATTGCGGAATGCCTCAAGCCTACTTGACCTTTTGTACTTTAACTATATTGAATTTAACGTGCTGCATGTAGCCATCAGTTGAAAAGCTGACGAGGATAGTGACATCAAAAAGATTTCTGATAAAGGTGTTTCGACATCTAGATACAGTCGGATGTAACTGCCACCGGAAACGTCTCTGTTCAGATTTTCACGTTAACATGGGTGGCGTCAAACGACTGATGTCCATCGTTTATTGGGCACAGGGGCTTTTTGAATCACATGGATGGGTTTCCTCGTTACATGGATCATTTAAAAGTAAATAATCATGTGCTTCATGTAATTCATCGTTTCAGTTTTTTAATATTATATCATGAGTAAATGTACTTTTGATCACCAAAAGAAGATACTTTGATTACGAGATTTTTCAGCATGCATTATCACATTTTTTTTTCTCAACAAAGTATAATGTACAACACATATTCATTGAGATTTTAACCAAATGAATAATATTTGTACAATTTTATCTATATCTATTTAAAAAATTTAAAGCTGTGCTAACTTTCTTGGGACGCCCTGTTGCTTTTCGTTTGCCTAATGGTTGAATACGTGTTTTATCGCTAACCTGATACAAGTTAAATAAAATTGCTAATTCAACAGAAAAACCTCAAGTATTCTAAGGAATCTACCCATGTCACAAGATTTTTTCGTCATAAAAATGTTCTGAGTTTCCTGTCTAGGGATACTGCCTTTTCTAACCGTCGTGCCCTTCATTTTTTGTATTACTTCTATGCAGGTTACAACACGAACTATTCCCGTGGAATAAAATGTAACTACACAATTCTCCAGCAAAATTTCGATTTTTCTGCCACTACTGTTGTTTAGAATGTTATTCTGCTATATGTCTTGTCCAAAATGCATCATCAAACAAGATGGCAATAATTTATCCGTTTTGCTGTTGAAAGACCATTCATTACCTGTTTTTCACAATCATTGCTAAACTGATGTTTGAATTTGAGAAGCGAACTAGCCCTATACTATCGTTGATCAATAAATTATTCCAGAGGAAACTCGACAGATCATTTATGTACAAATAAAATAGCAATATTAGTACAAACGTTTTGTTGCTCTATAAGATCCCATGGTTAACTTGGGAAGAGCACTGCATGAGTTGAATTCCAGAAACAAAATCCCTACTGATCAAGCTGATAGATTTTCGAAGAAGTACTTTCTCCACCCATGGGGGACTGTTGGTGAGGCATGTATCCAATGATAAGAAACATCTTCTATTTGCGCAAGCATCCCTCATCATGTTTTCTGTTTGATTGTAAATCTGGAGTGGCAACAGAAACAACAGTGTCCAAGAACTGAGAGATAGCAAGTCCTAAACTGTTGGGGAATCATCAGCAGAACTATGATGATTCTTCCGAGAATCACGGAACTGATTATCAATTCTCTCACAGTTTCATAATTCCCAAACGCCAAATTAGCGAATTTTCTACGATATTTGTCACATCCACACATTCATTACTATACAACTCTTTGTGAATGTACAGTACTGGCGACATTAATAAGAACATCTGATCGAATATAGTTGTTTACTCACTCAAGCTCAAATGATACTGTTGAGCAAAGAAAAGTTGATGTGAACAGTTGCATTCGAGTATACTCTACCCTTTGCTCAATGCCACCGACAAGTCCGAGTAAAAAATTATTTTTTAAAAACCTGTCAATTTTTTGTCTGACCACATTAATAAGAATGAAATGAATTACTACAGTACATTTCATCTTACACTTTTTTTTGTGTATTCTAACCGCTCTGACTGGTCTTGGTCCAGGTGCATGCCATAGCCACGCTCGCTTTATATTGGTTATGTCGCGAATCTTTTAATCACGCTGCAAACTATCGTTGTAGGAGCTGGTCTTGGGGAGTGAAATGCGAATTTGTAGTTTTTCCAATTTTAAATACCGGTAGTATACTCCAGTTTCTCTCTAAGCATTCAGCTGAATTCCATCACTCCTAGATCTGAAAATCGTGAGCCAATTTAAAGTTTTGGGCATAAAACAACGTTTTTTGAATAAGCGCACAAATTTGAAAAGCTTTTCTGAACTGTAATAGCAAAAAACAGACTGGTATTGCTTTACTTTGTCAGTCAGTTTTCCATTTCAATCATATCAGTTATCTTCGACGGTCGAAAAAATATAAAAAATTCTGGGTGTCAGCTTTCCATTGAAAGTCTTTTGCCAACAATGCATGTTGTCTTATCCACAGTGAAATGTCATTTTCAGATGTAGAAAACATGTTTTTGTCGTAACATTGAATTTTAGCAAATGATAACTGTTTCATCTGCTTTACTACAATCAAAAAGTCGTCCACCGATGAAACATTCACTCGAAGTTGTTCCACATTTGAAAAGATCTGGCAGAATTGTTCAACATTGTTTATATAACATGCATTAAATGAATTAATAATATTATATTTTTTAATTTTTTTATTCAATTGTACACAGATTTGTTGGTCGTTAAAATCGTTTGTTGCAGACATTAGCGCCGAAGCCGCAATTGTCAGCGAGCTTAAGTTTGTGCATCCTTTTAGCAATTTCAAAAATAGTTGTGGAACAATTCGATACTGTACAGTTAAATGTTTAATCGGCAAAAAATGAATCAACTCAGTGAGATCATGTGTTTTAATTGTCATATTTCGGTCTAAAAATGTCAATGATTCAACGTTGTTGTAATAACAGCCGAGTCGCGATGCTTCGGTGACCGATGTCGACGGTAACAATATTAACTCTTTTACATTCCTATAAATACCATTTCTTTTCGACCTGTGTTGAAGCAATAGAAAGATGATACATAATCTACAAAATAGCTAGAACCGAATGCTACAGTATAACGTCATCTTTCATCAACTATTGTACATCTAAGATTAAGGCCTTTTTTCTATACTGTTTGAAATTTTTTCTGTCAACAGCACTTGTTGCTGTCCTATGAATACTTTTTCGGTGCACGAAACCCAACTCAGCGGTTGACAACTCCATCTCCGGATCTGACGAAAGGACGAGTGCGTACAAGTTAAAGAATCGGCCCAGTTTTTTTTGCTCAAAATGGTCCTGTGAGCAGCAGAAAGCTACGAACATTTGATTTTAGGTGCCTTCGAGTGGTTAAAGCCATTCCATCCAGATAGGATCTTCATTTGGAAGCTGGCATTGCGGAGCACCATTAAAATCCTTCTCCTGCGCTTTTCTCTGGCACTATAGAAGTATATAAAGAAATGAACCCATAATTAAAAGCTCTTTCAATTCTCCACAAACTGACGTTAGCTTAAATGATCCACAGATCGCATTTTTCTCTAGGCATACATGTTATGTCGAACTCAATGACCTTTTGCAAAATCAATGAAGATATTGTTAATACATCAGTTTGTAGAGAGTTGAAAGAGCATTCTAATTATGGGTTAATTTCTTTATATGCTTCTGTAGTGCCAGAGAAAAGCGCATGAGAAGGATTTTAATGGTACTCCGCAATGCCAGCTTCCAAGTGAAGATCCTATCTGGATAGAATGGCTTTAACCACTCGAAGGCACCTAAAATCAAATGTTCGTAGCTTTCTGCTGCTCACAGGACCATTTTAAGCAATTTCGATTGTCGAGGTGAAACTATTTCGGTGACAAATGCATAGTGTGTGGCCATAATAGGAAAGTTGCCTCGACCTCCTAACGAGTTGATTTCGAAAGAAAAGCGCCTATAAAATATGTTCATCGTCGCGGTGTGTTTTCTCTTGTAGTGGTTTACGCGACACTTGCTGCACTGTATGTCAAGTACTTAGGTCCTCACCATAGAGCGGTCCTGAGAAACCTGTGAGGAAAACAGCTGTTACCTTTCTGTAGTTGTATTATTTGACGACAGCAATGTTGACATGAATGCCATCGAAGGTGATAAATTTAAATTGTGTTCTTTATCTGGATAGGGTACAGTATATATATTTTCTGCATTATCATTATCATAATTAAATGCAATAAACCATTTATGTTTTAATAGCCAGAAATCCGTTTTGAAGGAGCATAGAACTTGCCTGGCATTTATTGTTCCACAAACATTGCTTGATGAACATTTAAATTGAAGTTTTTTGAGCATCGGTAATCCGGTTGAAATCAATTGTTCCCATTTTTGGCCGTCAAACAAATCTCTGTCATGATCAGTTCTTAATATCAGTTGTTGAAGTCGTGGAAATTGTCTCAGCAAGAGAGCAATGCATTCGAAATTGTATCCCATATACAGTCCGTCCAAAACAGAATAGTAACAATTCGTTGTTTGAATTCTTAAACAAATTAATTCTGGTACTAACGTTGAAATGCCGTCGATATGATTTGATTCGTTATCCGCAGACGGCCGATGCCCTTGTCTATGGAATAACCCTACATCAAAGTTTGTTAACATTGGCGTTACTGAAAAGAGACGTTTTAAATCGCTTATCTCACAGCACCTAATTGTTAATTTTGTGAGTTGTTCAAAGGTTGTTGTTCTGATTGACTTATGCGAAATAATCGGATAAGACAGTGCGAGACTGTTCAGTTTTTGAATTATATTCAGCACTAAAATTTGCCAGGTGCCAGCTGTCATAGAACAGAAAAGTGATAACGAAACCAGTTGTTGAAGATTTTGTAATTGAGGCAGTATCAACCTTAGTTCATTGATCTTTATGTTGGTAAGTATCATCGATTTAAGGTTGACCAAATGTTGAATGTTGAACGATGTTACAAATGATTTTATATGCTCACCGTCATCGATGTTGTTGCAAGACAATGCTAACGATAGAATTTGTTCCGGTAATACTTGAGAATAAACGGAACAAAATGTTGACTTTGTGTCAAATGATAATTGTAAATGATACGATAAAAGATAATTGATTCGACTATTTAAACCATGAAATGAAACAAACAAATCCCAACTATTCAAATACTCGAACGCTTCGATTAGTACTTCATTTGGAAGAGACTCCAGCATCATGAACGTCTTATCGGTTAATTTTGTTTACTCCTGCTCACTGTTGCAATATACACGCGCTGGTTAGTGTTGTTATAGTCTTCACCTTCGGTTAGATCATATCACTTCTTCTATTCTTCTTATAAACATACATTTATATACTTTTGCGCGTTATTCTCTATATTGGGATTTTTCACACTCATATGTAATTTTCTCTATTTCTTGAGAAATTTCTTGAGAAACAGAGAAAATTACATATGAGTGTGAAAAATCCCAATATAGAGAATAACGCGCAAAAGTATATAAATGTATGTTTATAAGAAGAATAGAAGAAGTGATGATATGATCCAACCCTCTACAGCCTGTTAGCGAACCACTTCGTCACAGCTAAACATAACCATGTGCATAATCATGTTTCATTCCTTTTCCGTTCATCTCATTTATTTATCCCTCACTTATTCACTCTAGTACATATGAGTGATTCTGGTGATTTTTGTACCGTTCCACTTAAGCTAATGGAAATGCATGATTCTCCGTTAATACTAAATCGAGCTTATGCCATTTTATTCCGGACACTTTACTCTATATATACTGCTAAGATCTCTTTTCTGTCTTATTTCCTTAGTGTACAGTAAGCAAAACACTTTGTTTTTGGGTTCTTTTTCCCTTCTTTTCTT